TTCATTTAACTATTATACGTGATGTACGTTTTTTGGAGGTTGGTTAATGAAAGTGTTCCAAAACGAGACATTAAGTTCTTGACGACCTAATAAGAAGCCTATTAAAACAAAGAAAAAACATGATTTTTATTCCTGCTATATTTCAGGGATTGTATAATGTTAAACGAAAATAATATTGTTTAAATTTTTCTTTATCGTATTGAAGATCCATCTAGTTGTTTCGTGTTTCTTAGTTTTTCTTCTTTTTGAATTGCTTTCATACATATGTGCCCTCCAGTGGCACAGCGGTACGTCTGTGGACTTACAACGCTAGAATCCGGGTTTCGATACCCGTGGTGGGCAGAGCACATATAACCCATTGCGTATCTTTGTGCTTAATTACAAACTAACAAACTTCATGCATATGTAGTCTTCAGCTAAAACTAAAAATTTAAACAAAATTCATTCTGAATTTACCCTAAAACTTGGGTGATATGAATAGTATTAAAACAAATAAATAATTGGTTAAATGTTTTGAATTTCGCGCAAAGCTGCACGAGGGTTATCTGCGCTAGCCGTTCCTAATTTATCAGTGAATAACTAGAGGGAAAGCAGGTAGTCATTACCACCCACCGCCAACTGTTGAGCTACTCTTTTACTAATGAATAGTGGGATTGACCGCTACATTATAATGCTCCTACGGTTGAAAGGGCGAGCATGTTTAGTGGGATGGGGGGTTCGAACCCGCGACCCCTAGATTGCGGATAAAGCGCCGTAACCACCTGGTCATGCCGGGCCTAACAAATAATTAAAACAGTAGTTAAAACTGAACATACAGTAAAGATCTGCTGAACATGAAATAAAGAATCTTAACTTCCTCTTGCGGCGGTCTCATGTAGATTTAATTATTAAACAGTTTTTGAACAAACTTTTTAATGGAATTCGGGAAATGCTTTTCGTAAATTAATTTGTTTTTTATGCACAAAACCAAAAGGAAGAAAAAGACGAATACAAGGTTCTTATACAAAATCGTGATTTTTTATTAATTAAACAATTATCGAAATTGTTGCTCACTGGTATGTGGATTCTCCATGTCATATTTCGTAATTCGTAACAGTTTGTTACTGTTTCACAATAATCTTAACCATACAAGGTAAAACGTAAGCAACTTTGCTTATATCACGGGTAAAATTTGACTTTATATAACTTCTTAGCATCAAATCAAAACTTTTTTTCACATTGAAAGTAACCATTTACAAACACAAGATATTCGTTCCTCACATCGGGAGCCCTCCAGTGGCACAGCGGTATGTCTGTGGACGTAAAACGCTAGAAACCGGGTTTCGATACCTGTGGTTGGAAGAGCACAGATAGCCCATTGTGTAGCTTTGTGCTTAATTACAAACAAATAAAATCCTCACATCGGGAAGCACATTCCTCTGACTTCTGTATGCGGTGTTTTTTCTTGTTTAATATTTTATACTTCTGTTTTGGTTTTCTTCTGGAAAGTGTTACTTGCTTATTTTTAAAGACACAGTTCGATCTAGAATTAGATTTTTTAAAAGTTATTATTTAATATAATTTACATTAATTTTGATAGTAGGACAATGAGTAATAAGCAAATTAACTTTTATTTAATTAATCCCTATGAACTTTATTATTATTATTTTTCGTTTTAGCTAAATAAGTATCTGTATATTATGTTATTCAAATTATCTTTCAAAGAGTTGGCATGATTTACCTCAAAATACATAAGTAGAATTGTTAACTTTTAATTAAAGAAGTATAAATATTAATAAAATAAAATTAAAATAAAACCTAGTGCGGCATTTGTTTGGTCATCTTTGCTACCCATTATTCTCCCGAAAATCTATCGATAAATATGATTTTATATAAAAAAGTAATTTTGAAGAACAAAAAAAATAAAAATAAATAACCCCTGCAGGACTACTTTCCTGTTGAACATTGAGCGTAACAAATGTGAATACTGATATATGTAGAATTCTATAACTATTAAACATAATTATGCATAATACTAGAATACAGAGAGATGGCACCCTAAGCGATAAAATATATGCTTTATTACGCTTTTTCGATAATTTATCAATATAGTCAATTATTATTTGATGCGTTAATAAGAGGTTTTTAGATTGACGTCAAAATATTGCTACGTGTTTCTAGAAATTTTCTCATATCTTTCATAATAGGCTTCCCAGACACTTGAGGGGAATTGTGCAGTGTATTTTTCTATCGCCCCCCCATATTATATTTAGTTATATACATTTATGGACCATTTACAAAACAAACAATATACCGATCTCTCGTTAATTAAAAAATATTTACTTTTTTCCAAGTGAAAATATTAGTAAACTTGCCATGTACTGTATTAGCTGCTATTTTACACTGTTCAGATGTTTAGAAACGTTCTTTGAACACAAGTATTAGTGTTTGGGGTTATAAAAGATGAAAATGTTATATAATACATACAATGCATTAAAATAAACACTTGGCTTTTATCATTCTTCTGAAAATAAAATATATCTTGATTTTTCTAAAGCTTTTAGTTAACTTTTAAAATTTTACATTTTATAGTTAATTTTCAAGTTAAATATATTCTCAGTTTTCTACTACAGGTCAAATTCAGTTCCATATTTTTATCCTTTCATGGTTGAATATTACTTTTTTCTGCACATTCGTGAACTATAATTGATCAAAAAAAGTTTATTAACCCAAGTTTATAATAAATTGCTATAAATCGTTCATAATTTATATTCTGAAGGATTTATTAACTGGAGCCGAAGTAAGATCTATTTTCAGGGGTGTAACATCATCATCCACCAAAGCAGTTAAAACCCATTTTAAAATTTAAGATATTTAATGTTGAAATGTTACTTTTCCCCCACAAATGTGCATTCACAATTAGGTTTTTAAAATTTTAAAACACCTCTTATTTCGTTTTTTGAGATCCAATTATTCAAATATTTTTACATTCCATTGTTGTTTCCCTGCCTGCATTATGTCCCTGTGTTTTAAAATTCCGTACGTACTCTGAAAGTCGTGGAAATATTTTCTTCAAAGTCAGTTTGTGAATTCCAATTATGTCCCCTAAGATAGTGAGTTTAAAAGTATTCTGTATTCTTCACGATAATCTGAATTCATGTCTCCTTTCACTTTTTGGATTTCCTTATGTTCAGTTGTCCAAGGGTAACTGTTTTTTTTTCCTAACATTTTCTCTAACATGCTAGTCTCCTTTACAAAAAAAGTCTTAGCACTTAGCACTTAGACTAAAGTTTCATAAACGTCGTCGTTTTGGGTTAGTTGTCTGAAGTACTTTCAAATATGAAAAATCCGTTTCATCTTATTAATATTCTGATCTTCTGTTCTTAACTGTAGGGTTTCAAGTTGAAGTTTAATTATCAAGAGTTCGAGGCGATGTTGATAATTTGTTCATCTTGTGATAGGGCAGTTGGTTTTGTGTTTTATCATCTATCGAATTACTTGATGTGTTTTAAAACTGTTTCATGGATACACATAACGTAAAATATATGTACAAGATATTAATTTTTTCGCAATCTTGTTAATTTTTTACTTTACAACCTGTAACAAATCGGAAATAAACGAATGTTTACATGTATGTTGATAATAATACAGTACTAAAAAATTGTTTTAATTATTAAAATCGACAAGTAAAATTTCATAATTTAATAATTAGTGTTTATGAAACTTGTAATATTCTGATTATAATAAATGAAAAGTAATTTTAACACTTGCACGAATTCATTAGTTATAATATTGTAACAGTATGCATACCTGCATCATTAAAAAACAATACTTATAAGAAATGAATTCTATAGCTTAATCATTATATTATAATAACTGAAGTTTACTGCCTTATACGCTGGCATTCCCATTTAAAATTATATTAACTAGACATTAGAGTGGCTGTGCTACTGTCAATAACTAATGTTAACACATTAGCATTCGACAATAATTGGATTTACCTCCATCGAATTGATTGTATCTAATGATGCTCAAAGAATATGACACTATAACTTTATATATATCAAAAATTCATAAACCTTTCTCTCTCCCTTCATAGACATAATTACTATAAAAAGTTGTAATTATGTAATTACAGTTTAAGAGGCTTCCAGCAGTGTTGTTGGGGCACAGTAGAACATTTAGGTCTATCTAATAGTCCACGTTTACCGTGAGATTCTGTTATTCAATTTTGAAAAATAAATGCACTGAAATAACTGCGTGAATTTGACTTACAGGTTACACTAATGATGACATTTTGGTGTTGGTCTCTTATCTTACTATTGATCAATGTTCTTCTCCATGAAATCCTTTGTTTTAATTTATAAACGATATTAAGTTGATTTTTAGTCAATCTATTAATTCAGTTGCTACTGTGTCCTTTGGTTTGATGGTTTTTTTGTCATCACCATTGATATGTATTGAATATCTAAATTTTTCAACACATAATTTGTACGTTTGATAAAGATGTAATCAGATCTAATTCAGCGGACATGTTGGTTAAAATATTTGTTGTTGACACACAATATATTATTTAGGCTCATATTATCGTCCACGTTTTCCATAAGCTCCTGCTTTTTCACGTTATTTATTAATTTTCTTATCTATTTCGACTTTTATTTGTTTTTGAAATACTTATGTGCAAACAAGATTATATCTCACAATGAGTAGCTATAAAAAGATGCTAAGACTGATAAGTGCTAAAAATCGGCCACAGTACAGATAGCTCACTGTGTAGCTTTGTACTTAACTAGAATATTAACTACAAAGACGGATAGCTACTGCTGCCACCTAGCGAACTCTCTTTGAAATTAGCCAGTTGTTTTCCTCAGTGTTAATATCACAATGCTCTTCCATCCTATGTTAAAAACTACATTTTCATTTTGAACCAACGTATTTACAAAATCCAACAGACACAAAGTAATAAGCCAGAATATAGACTTCGTTTTTTGAAAGTGATACGTTAATAGTTTTAATTTTAACTTGTAAATTTACTAAATTTGCGCTTCCAAAAGACGATCTGGCGAATCCCTAGCAGTGCTGAAATAATCATTTTTATATTTGTGTGATTAATATGCTTCAAATATTCTATGTTTATAATATACTTACAGATTCGAAACAAAAGTTTTTACAGCTTTCTAGTCCGTCATGTGCACATTTCACAAACGGTTGGTCATATGTGATTATGTACACAAGATTATCTTCTGAAAACCCTCCTTCTTCAATTACGTAACTGGCACATGTACAAAGGTCACCTCGGACACTAAGAAATAAAACCAGAACGGTAAACTTGCATGTCTTCGTAGCACCAGTAGAAAAAAAGAAAGAAAAGAAATAGCAACACATATTTTTGAAACCGGGATTTATGAAATTTTTTAAAAGCATATAAAAACAATTTAAAGACTTCATGTATAAGTATTGTATCTTTTAGAAACAAATATAACAACCACTGAAATTACTTTGTACATTTTTATACAAATATATTGATAAATGTTTCATAAATTCTTTATCTAATTTTTTCTACATCTAAATATGTTTTTCACGGATTAGTTGTTGTTGTTTGTTATTAAGCACAAAGCTACACAAAGGACTATCTGTGTTCTGCCACCACGGTTATCGAAACCCGGTTTCTAGTGGTATAAGTCCGCAGACATACCGCTGTGCCACTGGGGGGCTCGTGTATGAGAAAGTATTTAGTAGACGAAATCATTTTGTAACTTACGTTTTACAAATATTTTAACCAACATGTCAACTGAATTATACCTGTATAAAATCTACAAATATGAATTAAAATTTAATTCATATCATTGGTGGGCAAAGAAGAATAAATATCAAACCAAATGCACACAATAGCAACTGAATGAATATTAATAGGTTGTCCTCTTAGTGGCTCAGCAGCAAGTCTCTGAACTTTTGACGCTAAAAATCGGGTTTCGATACCTGTGATGAGCACAGCACAAATAGCCTATTGTGTAGCTTTGTACTTAACAACAAACATAAAAACAACAACAAATTAATGGATTAAATAAAGATCGACGTAATATCGTTTATAAATGAAAACAAAGTATCTTTTGAAGAAAAACATTGATCAGTCCAGTAAACTGAGGGAATTAACACCCAAAAGTCATAATTAGTATAATCTAGAAATTAAATTCACGCCGTTATTTCAGGGCATTTGTTTTTGCATAATTTAACAATGAATCTCTGAGTCAACCACACCATACACAGTATTCGACTTCCGGGAGGCACACATCCAGTATTTCCTCAACTCTCTTAGAAATTTACGGAATATGCACTGTATTATGGTGTTCGTCAACCCCAAAACTGAAACGAAATGGAGAAGGTACAACGATTTTTCTTTTTTGGTAGACAGAGAAATGTTTTACTAAACTTATTCTTCAGTCAAAGTATTATTGTAATTCGTTGTCCTTGCATTTCCCGATGATTACTTGCTTCGCGAGAATCTCTATAGAAACAGAAGACAAATGCCAGATGTGGATGCAGAGAAAGCAAGCCATAAGAGAAGCCAAAAAGAATTTCCTTTGGTGCTAAAGAAAATGCCAAACGGCTGAAGAGAAGAGCATATTCCTGCAAAAGGGGTATGTTCAGAGAATAGCCGGAAGACACAAACATCCATGATCATGAAGTGGGGCCAGCATAACATGTCTCAACATGACTATAATTAATACAATCGTTTCTAGGTAAAATAATTATGATTAATAGTGACAATCTAATTTATTGAAAATATCTTATTGTCAGCATCCTCTTTTGATGGCATTTCATTTTTGTATTTTTAGGTATATACCTTAGGCACAATTTAATGGGCTTAAATTGAATCAATGAACATAACTTGATAGTCCAGGGTTTATGCAGTGTATATAACAATTTTATTAACTCAAAAGATGTACGTATTAAAACAGTTTTATTTTTTATACAATATGCAGAGATACTTCTACAGGCAGAAGTCTAATCATGCTAGAAATATAATACACAATTTTTTTACATATTGTGGTGAACAAAAATGGAGAAATTCTTCTGAGCCAACTCCGGGAAAGTGTTTAGACCATTGCTGAATCCTATGTAAGTTTTAAACGTATTTTCTAAATAATGCATTTTCATTAAAGGCATATTTTTGTAATTACCCTATTAGATAAAAAATCTAACAACTCACCACATAATTAAGCAGAAAAATATGACTAGTCTGTCTAGGTTTTGTTTCATGATTGCAGTCTGTTGTAGACTAAGAATCTGTTAAGCTTAATGTTCTATACGTTAATATGGAAAGTTCGTTTGTTACTTACAGCGTGAACATCATATACAAGCTGTTACTTTCACACGATAACGGAAATGATATGAATGAATGTGTACATCCTACACAGATGGAAGCTTTATCACATGGTTATTGTTTAAATTTAATAGGAAAAAAGAAAGAAAAATACTTTAGTGGATTTCTAAGATCATCGTTGAAATACCATAATGGTAAACATCTCACATTTCAACATACTAAAAAAACACGTTCTAATAGCCCCAAAAAGTTTATTCAGAATGAATAAAAATATATAAAGTAATACTTAAATATTTTGTTGATTTTTTTACGGAAATATGAATGGAATACAGCTCAAAATGGGTATTCTAGATTATTGCAAATCAGGTGTTACCATTTCAGATATTCAGTAGTGTTCCCAAAATTAGGGTAGTGATAACTATTGTTACACTCTCTTTATTGTTCACAAAAGGTTATAAACAATTTTGCAATTAATATTTTGCATTGCATTTAAAAAGCCCATCCAGACAAAGACCTACACAAAATAGTTTTGTTTGAGTAGATTTTAGCTGTATACAGTAATGAAAGATTTAAGTAAATAACTGTTGATGTTGTGTTACTTTACGTCAATATTTTGTCGTGGTAAATTGTCAACTAATGTAATAATTCTTATTCTTGTTGATATTACTTCAAATGGCTTAACTGTGCCGTGCTGACTAAATTATCACCTCTATGTTTAAAAGTTATAAGTAGTTAGCTCCCCACTCTATCGGCAAAACGATGACTGCTGCCTCATGCTGGTTAGGAGATATCACCAAAGACGATGACGTAATAATTCCACAAATTGTCACCAGAGGGCGCGTTGTAGGGACTCATTGCTATGCCGCCATGACGTCATAGTTCATTGAAGTGGGGGTAAAACACTAAATCATTAGTCACTTACATTTCCTAAGTAATTTAAGTCGTCCTAAAAACAAGCTTAACACTGATTTATCAGTTATATACATTTTCTTACCAATTTATATGTCCTAAGAAGGACGATCTCATAAAATCTTATGCATCAATTAAAACTTACACTTTCATTAGTTTGACTTTATGCCATAACTTGACAAAATAATTCATTTACACATGTTTTACAAAGGTGAATGGTGTTCTACATATACATCATGTTACTAAAGGAAACTGTTTTTCAATGTGCCTCAACATGCGATTATGTCATCAATAAAATAATAAATAAATTTATTAAATTTACACTTTTTCTAATTTGACTTTATGCTATAACTTAACAAAATATTTCATTTTACACATGATATTTCATAGATTTATCTTACATGAGTTTTACAAAAGGTAGACGCTATCTCTCTACATATGATCAATGTCTATATTTAATTATGTTAAAACTATTATTTTAACAAATATGCTATGACAGTGTTGCTATAACTCAACATGCGATGACGTCATCAATGTCTAGATTTAATTGTGTTAAAACCATTGTTTGATATATTTTGATATCTGTACTAATACAATTTGCTACAACTAAAAATAATAGATTAATGACTTATTGTTTATCCATCCATTTTCTATAGAAAACTGAAATTGCATAAACTTTTGAGACTGTGTAATGCTATTAGGCATTGATCACTGGCAAAAACACCTTTAATCGTCTTTGCATACACAGATCTTGTGAAAGTATGTAATATTTTTCACGTGCATTATTAATATCTGTACAAATATATATTTTCCCAAATGATTTTTACTTTAATTTTGTTTTAACTTTTGATGATAATTTTTTTTCATGAACTATTTCTATATCAATTATTTTTTAGATTTAATCAATATTTACTTTTTATTCTATAGGGCAATGATCTCTTATTAGTATTTGCATAGGCACTAGATATAAATTTTACAATTTAATTTTTCTTTCGATTGCTTGATATATATTTGAAATTGATTGCTTTACTTCTCTAGTTGCTTCATTTATATATTATTCAAAACCAAACACAGCCAATAAATCTATATACTTATTAACATAATTTGTTTCATCTGAGAAATCAATGTTTACATTATCAATACAGATTACATTTTTAATTCCATCATCTATTAATACAATTTATAATTCGTTTAAAAACATGCATGCTGTAAACTGTGTGATCTATAAACAGCTATTATAAGTATATAAATTTGTTCTAGATATGTATACTCAAAATATGTTGTTAACATTCGTTAGTTTCAATATATTTAACTTTGATAATATACTATTATTCACCCAAACTTCTCATAATATCTATAGTTATAAAACAATTTATATCTAACTTTTACGAATTTACTTCATTGTTAGCCATATGCCAGTCAAAATTAATACACTATTAACTCAATATGCTCGAATTTATACCTAAGACTCATTACATTTACATGTAATAATTTTATTTTTACTATAGATAAAAAATATTTATGTTTCATCTGTGAAAACTGGAGCTTTTTATATTTCACCATTTCAATAGATATTGACACTTGTTTGTTGGATGAAGTTTTAATTTTTAGCCCATCTCAGACACGATGAGTTGATTATACTTTGAAATATAGTGACCTAGCTAGCTGACTGTTCAGGTTAGGTTGTAGGTTATGATTTAGGAGTGCTTCCTTTTTTCTTGGCATCCATTCATCTTTCAATGAGTCTACTATTCTAAAGTGTTCACTGTTCGGTTTTCCTTACAGTCTTTGCTGAGGTGGTTGTAAATTCCAGAGTTATTGAAAGGGCTGTTATGCGCATGCTCCTTGATTCTGATAGCTAAGGTTCGAGTGGTTGACCCAATATAGACTTCCCTGCAGCAAGGACACAAAGATTTGTATACTACCAGCGATTTTTTTGAAGGAGGTATTTTGTTTTTAAAAAGGAAAAAATTGTGTATCTGTTTCTTCAGGTTGAAGATTACTCTTAGGCTGACTTAAAGATAAATTGATTGCAGAATGCTTTTGATTTTACTTCATAGTTTAATGCCATGGAAACCAGTGATTGGTAACACCAAAGTGATAGGACATTTATGAATATTGAAGTCAGGAATTTTGGAGTTGTAAACCCTATTCATATATTCAAAAATACTTTTGTTGGTGAGTGCTAGAGGGAAGGAATTTTAATAAAATATTTGTTAATATTGATAAGTTCATCATGAAAATAACCATAAGAGCTGGTAAGTTTATATGCTGTATGAACTAAAATTCTTATTAAATTAGTTTAGTAACAGTCAAGTATAAATGTGCTTTTATTTCTGTTTGAGAAATATATTCAAATTCATCCTCCATTATATTTCGTCATTTTATTTAAACCTTATTTGTTGTTTATTCTCATTATTTTGGGCCTTTCTGACAGTCTCACAAAGATTTTCACCTTTTTATTCATACAAAGTTGAAATTTGCATTTCTATTTTTTGCATTGTATAATAACTATTTTAATGTGGGTGTTAGATGTTCATTCAAGTAAATTTTACCTGTATTGAATTTGAATCTATGTCTGTATTTCTTGTACTATAATTTTGAATTTTTCTCACTATAAGCCACTTATCTTCCACAACATTTGACTTAAAATTTTAGTATTATAGGTTTCTTAATCTCTGCTAATTAACTGAGATCTAAGCTGGGCTGGCACTTTCACTGATTCGTATATGAACTTTATTAATACCTTTTTTGAACAATTTCATGTAAATTTACTTTTGGTTCTTCTTCTAGTACTCCAGTTAGTTCCAAATGTTGATTACTTGAATACTGGTTTAATTCACAAACATTTTGCTTAATTTTTTTCACTCTTCTGTTTTTTTTCTACTTCCATGTTCTTATCTTTTAACTCATTTATTTATCAAGCAAATTCGTATACAGTATTCGTCAATCTTATTTGACGTATATTCATTAGCTTGTTCAGTTCACATATATCTTGCTTTAATTCTATTATTACATTTTTATATCTTCTATATGTATTTCATTCTATTAATGGCATGCTTTTACTTTAGTAATCTCTTTTCCCCAATTCCATTATCAAGCACTAATAGTCTTATGTCTTTCAGTATTATTCTACTGCATGTCTGATCCTGTCTCCCTTGGTGCATTCTTGAATTTCTTATTCTGTTATTATCACAGTAATATGTTTTACACTGATACATTTCCATTTCTTTCGTTAATTTATTACATTAGATTTTTAGATTTTTCGTCCGTTCACCACCCATTACACAAGTAGCCACCATTTGTTATTGCGTGACATATATGATAAGAGATAAAACAAAAAATTGAACATGCTGACTCTGTTAAAAAAGAGAATAGATTACTGTGCCCATTTACTGTAAATACATAACGAATACAAAAAAGGCTTGTATGCATTAGGACAAAATAACATTAAAGATTATATAATACAATATCATCCCTATTGCACTCCAGGTTGATTTACTAAACATACTGAAATAACAGAGACAGTATTTGCCTAAAAAGGTAAATGGGTTTTGAAAGGGTAAAAGAAACATCTTTGTGACATATTTGTGCATTGGATATAAAGGTCTCTTATGAGGTCGAAAGCTTTATAAACATTTAGTTCAAGGCCCATGGCTTATATAAAGGCCTGTAAATTTCATTGTATGGTTAGTTGTTTTTCACAACAAAAATACCTCTACTTTAGAATTGATATAAAGCAAAACAAAAAGTGAATGATGTTACCAAAGGACACTGCCTTGTCAGGGAGGTGTGGTTTTAAACTAAATACGTCATATAGTCATGCAAACATCCTTTTTTTGTTACTTTTTGTTGTCTCGATTGAATTAGAGAAGACCATTCCATAAGTCGCCTCATTACTGATTGCACAAAGTCAAGGATATCATTTTCCTATATGGCTGTGTGCCCATGGGGACATCTGTATGGATATGATGGCCAATTGATATGGCTGCATCTATTGAAGCCACCATCTTGAGATCAAGGATCAGTCAATTGTTAATCATATTAGACCTATTCTAAACCAATAACTACTGCTGCAATGAATAATTACTAGGTGCACT